CATCATCATCATCATCATCATCATCATCATCATCATCATCATCATCATCTGTGACGGGTGAATTCCCAGGGGCTTTGTAACTCCACGTTTGGCATTGAAAATGATCAATTGAGAGCAAGCAACTCACTGTCAAAATCAATCTCAAATAACTGTTTTGGCTACTTCCACGCCCATAGCATTCTTTCAGCATGTAAGTCAGCACACTAGTCAGCACCTATCTTGCAGTGTTCGGTACGGTAGCTGAAAGCTCCTTTTCATCCTTTTCTGGTACTGCTGCAAATTCCAAAGTACATCATAGAATCTATGTCTTCTGGGACCCAACCTAAGACTGTAAAATTGAAAATACGTTTTTTGCAAAATAACAGCTCAACAACATTGCGATTGGTGAAACCCAGGGTGTGCAAAATGCAAAGAAAAAACTGCACCATAAAAAGCACAATAGATTGCATATCTCAAAGATAGAGATAGATAATTAGGTAAATAGATAGAACGACAGAAAGCAGGACGAATCTCCTGGACGTCCAGGTCCACCGAATGTTCTTGGTATCCACAAGACAGCTAGTAAGCTACCTGAAGCTACCTTCCCAGGTCCACCTTTTCATCTCTTGCACCGACCGCGAGAGAGAACTCTGAGCATCCCCTGCTCACGCCAGTAGTGCACATCCATCGCCTCCTGCAGGTGTTCGTTCTCACCGGCCGCCGAGCGAGCTGGCTGTGTCCAGCCGGAAGTGTCCCATGTGACCTTTCAGCCCACGAGGAGCCATGAACGACTCAATGACCATGGACCATAAATGAATATAAATGACCATGACGACAGGAGCAATGAGTCAGCATGATGGCAAAGGTCTTTGGAATGTTGATGCTCAAAAGTGCCCCACCAAATTAAATATGTTAACTGTTGAGTTAAGGGTCGTGTGAATGCCGCATGATGTAAAATTGAGCAAAAGGAAGCAAAAAGCTGATTCACAGAATGGCATCCCGCAAACATGTGGAAGCCCGGCTTCCCGCGGGGCCTCTCTCTACGCATTCGCTCGCCCTCTTCTGACCTGGGTGACCTCTGCGTTGTGCATCCCACAGAACTGGCAGGTGCTCAAGTCCTGGACATGAACCGTCGGATCGTGTGGGTCTTACGGGCTTACCCAAAGGTGGCCATTTCGATTGCCCCACAGCCACGTTCTGCTTTTAGCTTGCAGCAACTTCTCCAAGTTCAGCTTTTTGTTGATCTCTGCTTGGCAACGTTTGTCCTGGAACTCTGGTGCGGCCCGAATGGTTGTGGTTTACGATGGTTTACGGTTAGGCCTAATGAACGCATCAAGAGGCGGGGCGAAAACAACGGACTGATGATTCAAAATAAGTTATTCTTGGATCAGAAAGACCGGAAACATCCGGAAACTCCTAGAACAGAATTGACATAGCCAACCCAATTCCCATACCCCAAAGACAGGAACTTTTGCAATTCACTGTTGGGATTCCTTCACTGATGCAAGAACACAATAGGTAATTTCCAGTGAACTATCACTAAACGAACCATGTCATGTCACCTGCATCATGTGGAAGAACGTCGTCATCCCGAGCTCTCTGGCACACAGAAATGCGAAAAGAATCATTCAGAACCAATAAACAGAATCAACCTGCCCCAACCACCAGTGAAGGGAGACACTTAAAGTTTTAAAGCATCTGACATGCGAAATGTGTGAGGTCAAAGTTCAAGCTTCTTTTGGATACAGTAATTACAGTATATTGTATTTTTCTGCAAAAGTACCAACTGATGCCTGCACCCCAACTCCAACAAACAACACGCGCACAATATATATATATATATATAACATACACCTTGAAATAAGCTTTGCAACACTTCTCTGGAAACTGGGGTAGCGCTTCAACTGTCGTGCCCATCCGTGCCACCAAATGGCCTCGGTCTCAGTTTCCTGGCGTCCGACTGGACGAGGCCAATCACTTGTGTTCTTCATGGGGAGGAGGCCAATCACTAAGTGGCCAAGTGATTCACAAAATTGACCAACTAATGTGGCAATGGGGTCTAACATGGTCTAACCATCCAGAAAATGGCTGACGAACTGCCAACAACAAGACTTGGAAACGCGGGTGAATGGAAGGTGGATGGTGCAACTTACATCCAAAACACAATACTTTCCAACACATCCTTGTGCAGCTTGCTTTTTTCCTTGCACCGCAGAAATCAGCTTGCTCCGCGCTTGCTCAGCGGCCCAGGCACTGCGCATTTCTTGGAGGTCTCCTTAGGATTCGCTCAAGGCACCCGCAAAAGGGGCCAAACGATAGGAGACCTCAAGGACAAGTTTTTGGCCCCCGAGGGCCGCCTTTGAGGCATCATGCCCACTCACTAACTCATTAATACCAACAACGGGGGACCCGGGCTTCCCCGTTTCACATCCCAACAAGCGGTTTCACATCTGATCCACCTGTTTGAGAGCAACTTGTGAACCCCCAGGTCCAGTCTCGGGCCCAGTTCAGTGAATTCGGATCATGGGATGTCACTAAGCTGTCCCCTTCCAAATGTCCACCTTTTGCCAAGGGAGCCCAGGGAGCCAAGGTCGGTCACTGCCACTCCTGACCCTCCTGACCAGGTCTGCAAAAGGATCTGAAAAGGTCTGAGCCCAGGTCTCTAAAGCCTAGCCGTTCCTGGACGATGCAGCGCCAGCGCCACTCTATCCACTGAATCGCAGTGTCCGGCAGCGCCTCGCCCGAGCCAGAACGCCCACCACCTGAGGAAGGCTTGAGGTCACGGCCTCCTGTTGAGTGGAATAATGATCCTGAAATAATCATGGTTTTGTGGATGGCGCATGATGGCAGCATCTGGTATTCGGCACATGGTCATCCAAGGCGCCATGAAGTCCACTTTCATGATTGTTCCATGTTATTTCTAGACTCCAGGCCTCCAGGAGTCACAATGCCCACAGAACACAAACAACAGAAAACCAAACACGTGGTACTGGTCATCTGCCAGGTCCAAGGCACTCTTTCGCACCTTCCCAACCAGTTCACACTTTCCTTCTCTCTTCACACCTCGGATCCGATCCAGTTCCTGCACGATCTTGTGGTCATCAAACTTGCTGTGGTGTTCGCACATGAAGCGATGACTACTCTGCTCCACCACCTGGTGCACCAAGCCTGGCTTGCTCTCCAAGCCCATGAACTCCCGCACTCGCTCCACGCTGGCGGCCTCCGTTGGGCTTGAATCACTGGCGGGTCAATCTGGTAGCAAATGGGGAAGTGATAACCTTCTCCCAATATCCACCAGTACAGCTCGCCCTATCTTCGACAATTGTTCCAACATCCCCTCAAATTCAGCACAAAGGACCATCAATCATGTACCACAAATTCTCCCGGTGTTACTTCAGGCAGCTGTTCGCCCAGGGCCAGGCTCCGCCCCCGCCTTGTCCTCGAGTACATCATCGAAAAAGAAGAACAGGACACCAGGGTCATGACGATGCTCCCACCAGTCGCACATATCCTGCGGTCTTTCACGAGGGGGGGGGGCACGAGGGAACCCGCGTGGATGAATTCCACAACACAACGTCAATACCGTGAAAATGGATCCCTGTACGAGCTGTTCTCATCTGCCACCCCACAGTGGCTGTTGGGGTCTGTGACTCTGCAGGAGGGTATGTCATGTCGAGCCGTGTCCAGGTCTCACGCCAACCTTCCAATCGATCGCGCCGTGCACAGCGCCTATCGATCGCGCACAGCGCGCGCGCGTTTGATGCGCCACTTGGGTCCTTCAAGGCCCGGTCGATACCACCAGGTACTAGCCGCATCACAAGGAAGGCATCAAGGGGGACATCCGATTCCAGAATGGAGGCAGTGAAATGCCAGTCACTCACCAGCACATCCTGCGCAAGTCGTTGCTTCTATGGTCACATAGGTTGCTTCCGGATGTGACGACTCTGTGACGACGGTTGGTGGCGAATATTCAAAAGCTCAGAGTCACAAACATACACCATAGAAGCTCCTACAAAAGACCATATGAGTGTGTACATGTGTGTACTAAATGGGGAGACCCCCAAAGATCTTTGGAAGAAGGTAAATAGACCAAAACCCATTGATTGGAGACCTCCCTTAGGATGTTTGCTTCCCTCTCTATTTGCTTTTTCAGTGAGGCACGCTATACATAATTATGCATGTATACATGTGTACAGTGTACAGTACATATATTTGCAAATCGGCATTGGAAACCACTCCAAGGGTGGCTTGCGTGCCGTGACAGGCAACATCCTGCAACCAACCCACTTAGGCGAGCTACTCAACACCTGACCGCATTCTATAATTAACTGCCCAATCCAAACAGCCATTCAGCTGGCTCTCCTTCACCTTACACTTCCCCAAGCACTCTCTCCAAAGCATTCACTCCAAAAAGCACTGACCTTAAAGACATGCAGCTCTACCCAGCTGCACTCCTTCAGCTCACGAAAGCAGTAGATCCGCTTACAGCTCTTGGGCAAGCGACGGAAGCTCAAGTGCGACTTGTAGATCCGCGGCACGGCCACCTGCAGCTGCATTGAACATGTCACTGTCACTGAGTATGGCCGAATTCTGAACTGAACATGTGGCCCACAACTCAACACATTTCAAAAAAACTATGAGAACATGGTCCAACCCATGGTCAACTGAATCTAGCCACAAACTTTTACGCCTGCTCTGCGTTGATGTCATTGGTCGGTAACAAGGAGGCAGGGCCACCCTCCAGCATGGGAATCACATCCATCTGGTCCTCAAAAGCACTGGCGTCCCAAACTCCGCCGACGCGAAGTTGATGACACACCTGCAAGAGCATGGTGGTACCGCCTTAGTGTGAGGTTTTGGACGGATGTGATCGGCATGATGAAGCAAATCAGTAGGCTGCCTGCTACTTTCTTATGCCTAGAAGTCCCTATAACCTCCAAAAACGAGCTACGCAGAAACTCAGAAGGACTGGGTATGGCCAAGAAGAAGCGTGCCCCAAGAGATGAGCGAGTTGCGGAGTTGGCGAGTGGTCTCATCTCTTGACCCATTGTTGTGAAGAGCTTCTCTATCATTCTCTCTTGGATTTGCTTAAGGCACCTGACACCTGTAAAAAAGGGGAATAACCTATATATAGGGAACATAGAAATCAAGTTGAGCAAAACCAGTCTCTGTATCCACCTGTTTCACATTGTTGCACCAAATGTCGTGTCTCAGGGCCCCGGTCCACACTCGACAAAGGCAGTGAGCAGTCAAGCGCCCCGAACTCAAGCCCAGATTCGGGGCCAAACTCCATTCGCCTCATGTTCCCTATGATCCCCCCCAAACCAAGAAACACAAATCCTTGAAACTTGAAACCATCCCCACTCTCATCCGTTCCAGTACCCCCTCTTCCCCCTTCCTCTTCAGGGTAGTCCAATTCCACGGCACAGCGGCTCTTAGGAGGCACAGCCACCACGAGATCCTCGACGCGACGCTGCCAACGCTTCTGCAGCTCCTGAGGGTCGCTGAGGGTCTCCACGTGGCGCTGCAAGGGGCGGAGCTGCCAGGAGAGGTGCAAACGCCAAGGGACGCTCCTGCTGGGTTCGGATGTCCGGATCCGAATCGCATACAGAGGGACAGTGATGACAAACAAGTCTTTAAGTTGTTTTTTGCATGAAGTTTTCTGGACCGTTCTGTGGTCTCTTGAGCCATCTTGAGGCCCTCCATCCCGGCTGGATGTTGGATGGATGAACATGAACTATCGACTATCGCACCTAAAGTTCGACATGCCATGACATTCCAAGCTGAGCCTCAAAATGATTCAAAAGGCATAAACCTTGGATTGGAGAATAGAAACATGTGCGACCATCAGCGACCTAACAACCCACCGTCCTGGGTCTTCAGAAAAATGTCAGGTGATGATCTACTAGTTGTAGTTTGAGGACGTTTGGGCGATTGAGTTACTGGTCAAGGCCATCCAGTGGCCACCTCTCCTCATGGTTTGCCAAATCCCCAGCCACCAAATCGCCAGCACCCCACTATGTTCGTCTGTGGCCCAGTAGCGCGCACGGACGCCGCTTGCGACAGCCAAACTGGGAGGCGCCACCCAGATCACGCGGCGGAGAATCGTATCCCACATGGCCAACTATAAGAGATAACACATTTTTGATGAGACTGTAGTAGTCTAGTGCTGGTGGTGGTGCTGCTGTTGCTCCTACTGCTGGCGCTGCTCATCCTACTACGACCGCTACTCCTCCTGCTGCTGCTACTACAACTACCACTACAACACAATGTTCCTATTCTATCCTATTCTACTGTACTAGTTAAAGTGTGTGGCAGTTCTTCTGCTGGATCAGTGGGATCTGCTACAGTGAGACCCTGAGACCCTGAGACCCTGTAGACCAGCCATGTAGGGAGTGCTGACTTGCCAATGTGATAACGGCTCCACCTAATTAAGAGCCGGCTAAGCTGCAGCAAGAGCCAAAGGTAAAAGTGAACCCTGAACTCCAAAAAGGGAATGAAAGCTGGGGTGGTCTTCGTAGACATTGACATTGTGACAAGGAGTTGCACGCTTCACTATGTCATGGTCAGTGGCAAATATCATCATAAATATATCATACCTCACTTAACTTCCCAAAGACATTTGCGAGTTTCTATTGGACGAACTGCCAAACCTCCCAACTCTCCCCAGTGGTTTAACTTGAAAATGCATCACATATATCATTTGTCACTTGAGACCCTATTGTCCAAAGCCTGGACCCTGTGGACAAAAGTCAAGCCCAGGCAGGACCAAAGGGTCTGCTGTGTGTGTCCTATGATTGATTTCAACATATTTCAACGTCACTTTTCAACTACTCTCCCTGGAGACGGATGGCACCCCCTGTGTGGTATTCGGAAAATGGTCTTCCAAGTGACCATGCCATCCACTTCCATGGTTTCCTCACCTGGATCTGCCCCTCACGCCCCGACGCTGCCTCGGGGATCGGCGGCGCAGGGCCTGCCAAAAGGGAGCTACGAGTCAACGAGTGGGTTTGGATTGCCGTAGGTCGGTCTAAAACAATAAGACCAAACCAAAAAATCTGACCAGCTTCAGTTTCCTTTTGGACTTTTGGTTTTGAAATATCCGATCCACTCCAGGATGGCTATACATCCAAATGTTTAAGTCATCAAACCAAACAAGTTAAACCATTACAAAGCTTGCTGCATAAAGCAAGATGTCCTGAGCATTCAAATGTTCTCCATTTGGGGACCTGCAGATTCATCTGAGCCAGTCACACATATCAACCTTGAACCACTTCGCCGCTGGGGCCACTCGCTACATCGCTGCTTCCACGTCTTTTTCTCACAGCTCGCTGTGGCCAAAGGGTTTGGCTGCTTTGTCATCCAGCCAGGCCACGAAGGAGTCCTCAGCAAGCATGTGTTTGATCTCAGTGATATAGCTCTGAACGGCTCCCTCTAGCTCGCCACGGAGGAAAACAAATGGATACCCCCCGGCTCCGAAGTCGCTCCCGTCCACGGCTCGCGCGATCCGTCGCGATCGAGCCTGCTGGTGCGTCCGGATCCCCCGAAGTTCTAAGGCTGGATCTGAAAACGCCCTGGACACTATTCCTCACAGGAGGAACAAGTGGAAAGGTAACTGCCATTTGTATACAATATTTTTTGTAATGGTCCAAATTGCAAATCCCTAAACAGAGTGGACATCAGTGTGTTGACCTTTTGTTCCATTCAGGAAACAGGTGGGCTCAAAGGAAGTGAACTTGCAGTTTGCTCCAACAAGTTCCATGCACATTCGCCAGGTTTATCTCGTTATTTGTTGGGCATGGTTTACAGTACTGGTTTCCAAAAAAAAGGCTGGCTGGGTGGTCTTAAGCATCAACAAATATAACTAATACCTCGATCTTTACTTTTGGAACGGGCAATTAAGTTCCCAATCCGCTGGCCGCTGAAACTAGTTTGCGCTTGCCGGCGACCAAAAGGAAGGCCATTGTTGTTTCAACCCTGGCATGTTGCATCTTTGCAAACCTTTGCATGTCTAGGAACATAATGCATTCAAACCCAAGCAACACCCGAGGACCTTTTTGTAATACCAACGAAATATATCATTTTGTCCAGCGGTAAAACACACCTGACCTAACCCAGAAATGGATCCTCAACCCCAATGTTGTTCTTGCCCTTCCTGGCAGCTTTTGTTGGTCACCTGTTGTTCGTTGGTGTCCCTTTTCTTCTCCTCTTTTTGTCCAAACATGGGTTTGTGACGTGTGTCGCAAAATGTAGAAAAGGACAAACCCCATCTGCCCCACCGTGTTGCTCCCAATGCGGTGAACGAAAACCAGAGAAACATCTGAAAATACAGTCAACCCTTTCACCTGACCATGGGATTCCCCTCCAGAAACATCTAGCAAAAGTCCCGCGCTCTGCTGCTGAGGTGCCACATCACGATCCCCATCGTAGTCCAGTGGCTCCTCCTAAAACGATCCCACAGCGTTGAGACGAGAAACCCAAGTTGATACCCCCTGCAAGAACTAGGCCTCGAACAGCTCACATCCCTAAGACAGTGTTCGGATGTTTTTGGCCCAGTCCTACATACCACCGGGGGATTTGAGCCCAAAAGTCCAGAACAGGGCTGGAGACTTGGGAAGCCACCTGGAGACTCGGGGATACTCCGGAACTCCATCCGAGTCCGGAGGACTCATGGGAACTGGTTCTCACGCGAAACCAATCTTCACCGGACTTTCCTTTTCCTTACGGAGCCGGCGGTTGGGAATGTCCACATGGCCCGGGCTTGACCATGCAGTCGGCTGCATCCTGTGAACAATGGTTCGCATACTAATACTCAACACATCTCAGCATCAATATGTCACACAATTATATAAGTATAGTCTTTGGAACCCGTGACGTCCCCTGGAAACGGCTGCGCATGCGAATGATCTAGAAGCCTGGGAAGTCACCCTTGTGGCAGCACATCATCCATCTTCGTTGAGGAATGGCTACCCCAAGTAGTCAGGTTTGGCCGGTGACCAAAGAACGCCCGTAGCACTCCAGACATTTCGTTAGCTTGCATGCCTTCGCAAGGCCCATCATCCTGGGGCACTCGATCTGCTAACTGCCCAGCCGCCCCAGCTCATCCCAAACCCTGCGCATTGTGCGCAGGTCCGTCTCCTTGTGGTCGGCCCGCCAGAATTTGATGGTTGGAAAGCCCTCGATGTCCACGCCCTCCACATCGTTGGCCGTCGCGTCGATCTTGGCGATCCTGAAGACATGGGCGAACAAAAGGCACGGTAAAAACACCATGTTGCACATCACATCACCTCCCAAACCGATAGTCTCCCTTCCAAAAGGATTGATTCATGTCAACAATATCTCCAACCGCTGCCACTTTGAGCAGAGCAGGGTGTCTCTCCGGTCAAGCTGATACCACGAAGGCTTTCCGACAAGACTCGACCATCAATGTGAAAGCAAGGAACAAACATGGAAGTGGATGGCAGCCCCATGCACCCCCTGTTGTAGAGAAAATGGTCTTTCCAAAGGCCACTGTCCACCTCCATGTTTTTTCCAGGAAGAGCATGACTTGTTTCTCTATAGCTGCTATGTTTCTCTAAACTGGGGTCAGATCACATGGGAGTCACGTCTCCAAGTGAGACGGGGGGAAGGGGATGCTGAGGTATGCATCTTAAAATCCCATGTGCTATAGAATCCCATCAACCTTGGATCCTGGAAGCCTTGAAGTGGTCGCATCACTGCCTTGAAGCCAAGCTTTTCAGGACCCCACAGCCAGATGGCTTATCTCTGCAACATCCCCCTTCAGGGTGGTGCCTCTTGTTTGGCTCTCTGAGCTTCACAAGAAAAAGAAAACGATTCGGCTCTCCGAGCTGCACAATCGAAGGTACACTTTCCAGCTTCTTGGCCTTGGGGTTTCGCATGCCCAGTCGGTTCACGCTGAGTCCTCGGAGTCCTCCTATGTCCAACGAATGAGCGGTGATGTGCGACACGCTGAGGAGTGGTTGCATGAAGTTCAGCCCTGAAACGGACAGGACATTGGACCTTGCAAGGACCCACCTTCTTCATCTGCTAAGAAAAGGTTACATCAGGTTACCTTGGTTCCCTGTGAGTAGCTGAGTGGATGGGACAAGAAAGGGTCTTCCAGTTTAGCAAGGCTTTTTGGTATACTTGATTCTGACTTGAGAGAGGAGGGATTATTGAATGAAAGCTAGCAGGCAATCACAAGTAACCCTGGTAGAAGTCCATGACGGCGACGGTGCAGGGGTGTCGAACCGAATCCCTTTTGAGGACCAAACTCTGGGCACAGCACCAAGTCCTGATTGTAATACATTTGTGCTAAAGCAAGGAGAACTCAGGTAGCCTGAGGCTACCTGTCGTGATTTGATTACACCAGTATATACTTGTGTTTTTTCCAGACTGCCTGGTGCATCAAAGTAGATCCAGGGAAGCATGGCTTGCAAAGTGAAGCAAGTGAGAAAACGTTGCCAGTTGCAAAGGAAAACACTGGCATACTGAATGCCACTGCTACGGCTGTACCAGTCAAAAAGACACATAGCAAGTCACCAAGTCTATGGAAGAGATCAAGAATTCAATGGCACTGTGGAGGTAACATGATCATGACAACGCTCATCGGCTTGGTCAAAACTCAACCTTATCCACTTCCAAGTGCCCCTAAGTGTCACTGTCGTGCATCACAAGCACCAAAAGCAAACAACCAAAGGAAAACATAACAAGTCGTTCATCCAGTCAACAACAAGGTCACTAAGGTACGGAAACCAAATCATTGACGAGGGGCTACTGAGGTGTAGACCGGCTCTAGCTTCTTGCAATGGCCACACCAGGGCGCATAGAACTCCACCAGGACATCCTATACCACCGCACCCGCCAAACGAAATGGATGCCAGGTGCATGCCATGTGGGTCTTCCACAAGGGACCTGAGGGGACAACAAAAGCACATGGTTAAATGGTCTTATGCGACACGTATGCTCCATGATGGATTCTCTGTTCCAGCCCAAGATGCGCAGATCATGCAATGGCAGTAGCAGAACCAGTCCCAGAATTTGGATTGCGAACTGTCAAAGGTATAGGCATGCATTCTCCAAGAGCAAGGTCGGAATGTATGGTACGATGCTGTATGGGCAGTTTGGGGCGATGGAGGTTGCTTAGACACTTGGGAGTACTTGATTGGCAAGGTGTACAATACTTTGGAAGACCTACTCTACACCACCGTGAACCTGTCTAAACAAAGAACATCAAAGAACTGTCCATTCCTGTTACCGTTTCTGTCCGTTGCTTGAAAACAAGTGGTGCAAGGTTCTGTCCATCAACCATACCATACCACCAATGTTCCCACCTTTGTCTGTGAATGACGTTCGAAACTGAAGGGTCATGAGTCCAATGTATCGATCTATGACTCTATACTATCTCACTATCTCTTTCCATCCATCCATCCATCATCATCCATCCATCCATCAATCCATCCATCCATCCATCCATTAGCGTCATATCGCATACTACCAAAGACCATCGTGGACTCTCTGAACAAGTCGATTTTCCAAGTCTTACAAACAACAACATTCCTTTGTGACATTGATGCGTAGGGTCTCTTCCAAGAAGTCAACTGTTCAACTCTACTCTCTGACTCACTAACATCTGGAACCGGAAACCACCTCACAATTCGGAACATGTACGAGCATCGTCTTCGGGTTATTCAGCCGTTACTTTTGCAGGATGACACCTAGACCGAAAAAAACGCCGTCAAAGCCCGTCGATGTCCCAATTTCCCCAGGCCTTTTGGGGGTCCTTGACGATGGATTCGAAGGTGGAACCCACCAGGGTATAGACCTCGCTGCCGACCAACGAGACGCCAAACGTCCGACGAGTCTTTTTTCCTAATGAAACGTCCAGAGGTTTTGGTGATTTTAGAGAGGTTGGTGGAGTGGGATCTTCCAAGGTTCCACTTCTCTCCATGTGTGCGGGATGGATGGTATCTGGCATCGACTTGAAATGTTCGCGTCTTTTTGCCCCGGAATCCGCCGTGTTCTTCGGATCTCCACTTGGTGTAGGGAAGGGGCCGGGTGCCCGAACTTACCTTAACTGATTGGTGCTTCAAAGAAACATTGCACCAGGAATTGGTTGAAAATTTGGCTGCAAGCATTCGCCATGAACATCATGAACCCTTCCGCAAGTTGAATCTGTTCCTCCCGGACTCTCCACATGACGGGCAACTTGCACGTTGAATTTGGTACCCAAATCAGGCGCTGCAACAAGCTGCACCTCGAAAACTCCATTTAGACATGTTCCGTGGACTGAGACGATCTGAGATGCATCTCACAAACCGAGAGTAGAACGCTTCACATGTTTGGTATGATCCATTTGGTCGTTGGATGTTTCTTTGTCTTTTTATGTTTTCCAAAGTCCTTGTATGCCTCACCCACAACGGAGAGACACAAAAAGTGTGGACCGTATGGAAAGCATTGGAAATAACATTGAACACACATGCTTGCAAGCACAAGCAGGGCGTTAGCGGCGCTAGTCCACCAAGGCACGCTGCACTGCTGCACCCTTTCCTAGAGTTGAGCGACCCCCTGTGCCCTGATCCAGTCTTTCAATCAAGGATCTGGTCCAGTCTGGCTCGTGGGCACTGGCTCCTCAAAATCGAGAAGCACTTGGGCGACTGGATCAAAAAGGGAGGGAGTCAGGCAAACACAAGCACACAATGCAGCACAGTGCTGTGCAATGCACCGCAAGTTCACTTCAGATGTTTTTCGATTGAAACAAGTCCTCCCACCTGGCCGTTTCTTGGAGAGGCCTCGTCGCTTTCATCTGCCAAGCTTCGGACTGCAAGTACTTCTTGAGCCGTCCAGCTTCAAACTCTTGCACGAAGGAGAGCAGGGATGCCTGCAGGGTTTCCATACGCTGCAGGAAGCACAGCAACCAACGCACATGCCATCTGGCCACCTCCACATATATATATATATGTTTCTTAATGTCTCTTATCACCTCTTGTCCAATGTAAATCTCACATAATCTGAGACAGTCTCCTGGATTTCTTAGATCAAACGGGTACAATCTGCTCCCTGTATAAAACGCCGTGAGTCCTCCAAAAACACCACCCCTCCACCAGTCGCGACCTCCGTCACTTCTCCCTCCAAGCGATACTTGGCCATGGCCCCCTGTGGCTCAGTGACCAAGCGTGCAGTGGGCAGCTCCTCACTCACGCTCACGAGTCGCACGCGGTGCTCACGTCGCCACGTGCCGGTCACGGAGGATGGAAGGCTTCACAGGACCCTGCAGTTACCCCCTGCGGTGAGCGTCCGCAAATAATCAGGAGGAGAGGAGGGCAAATAAGAAGATGGGAAGATCCAAACACCAACAGGAAGGTGGTCGTGTGTTGGGATTGGTTCATATTCTATCTACTCCAGGATGGTTCTACATAATGATAATACAGAACCATGTAGAACCTGCGTAACCGGTGTGTAGAAAAGCATAGGAAACCATGCATGCCCTGATCAACAATGTGTTGCACTCGACTCCAGTCCCAGGGAAACCTGCCACGAAAACGGGTTCTAGAATTCTTGTTATCAAATGTACTGCCCTGTTCCAGAGTGGCAGCAGCGCCTGTGTTAGCAGCGCTTTTGATATGTTTGAATCCTCCCGGTTCCTTGAAAAGGGTTCCAGTTCGGTCGAGAACTTCCAATCTTCGCTGCGAGTCAACCGGTCGGGGACAAATCGGCATACCGCACCGCAACTGCGACCCACCCAAATATGACCGGCTCCACAAACTTCCCAGGCCATGATCGAGTGTATATGTTGTTTTTTCCTTATAGGGTGGCAGTTCCTTTCGCCGGATCAGAATCGTCCAACCCTCCTCCCACTTTAGGTCCCAAACGGCGTGGACACCACACTGCACTAAACAACTCAACTCCTCCACCTCCACGCTGACATAGTCCATCAACCGTTGATCCATGGGTTCGCCTCGGGCTGCGACTTTGGGTGAAGTGGTTCACAACCAAATGATCCAATCCTCAAAAGAAACAAGAAGCGACTAGGGGCTCCTGGCCTTACTAGGAGCAAGGACGCTACTAGGGGCTCCTGGCATCGCTACTAATGGCATTTTTACTACTAGTAACAAGGAGCTACTAGGGGCTCCTGGCATCAAACATTCTCAAGTCAAGTACTACAGTGGTTTCAGAGTAGATGGCACTGGCATCCCAATGTCCAAAACAAATGGGGCTCCATCAACGCCACCAAGCTTGGGGGCCCAAACGCGCCATCTACTCTCAATCTAAATATGGATTTATGGCAAGTCTATCCTCAGCTCAACTCCGGTCGACTCAGCTCATGGCTCGACCCGGCCAGTGCCACCAGCAGCCGCCGCTGCAGCTGCTTGGCGGCTCCGCGGAGGGCCTCCTCGGCCGCATCGCCTAGTGGCGGTCCGGGTGTGTGGTCCTCTGCTGGTACGTCCTCCACTCAAGGGCAGCCCTCCCAACAAACAAAGTGCAAATAAGTTGAATGAATCTATACCATATATAAATACATACAGTATGTACATGTGTGTGTCAACACAATTTCTAGTCATAGTTGCCTATAACCGCGATGTCTCTTCCCATTACTGCTCTATCGCACTGGGCCTGCCCTTCACTACAAGCTGCACCAGCACGACCAATGACTCCCCGGCCTTTCCCATCCTTATCCCTGAAAAGGAAAAGGATCGGCCGGCCGTCGCTAAACAAGTCGGCTGCGGTCTCCTCAGTGCATCTCGCGGTCGACACGTCCGATTCGGCACAAAGGCGATTGGTCCATGGAACCTTCCGAAGGACGCCGGCATCTACAAAGATTTACAAAGCACACAGGAGCGAATGAAACAGCTATCCTTTGAAACTTTGAAGGGACTTGTCAAGCTCATCTGGTTGTGGCTCAAAAGCAGGGTGCCATCCCAACACATTGATAAAACATGATAAAAGTGAAGGAACAGTGAAAGAAATCTACAACCTGCGTCTTCCTGCGTCTAGATTTTGGGGTCCTGATCCATGGACTGGTAGCGAGGTATTTGCCCCACAATATGCCGGCAATCCCTGCTTCGTGTTCTTAGGTTGTTCAATAAATAGACGATTTATTAACATTTACTTTACTAGTTTTTCCCCACCTGCCAGGTGTGGGTTGTTAGATTTTATGTTAGCTGACTTCTCCTTCTCCTCCTCCTCCTCCTTCTCCTCCTCCTCGCCGGACCTCAACCACGACCATCCACGCCCAGTGTTCCCTGCCGGACCTCAACCACGACCATCCACGCCCAGTGTTCCCTGCCGGACCTCAACCACGACCTTCCACGCCCAGTGTTCCCTGCCGGACCTCGACCACAGCACACAACCACAAACACACAACTACAAACACAACCACAAACACACAACCACAACTACAAACACACAACCACAACCACAACTACAAACACACAATCACAATCACAAGCACACAACCACACACACACACAATCACAAACACACAACCACAAACACAATCACAAACACAACCACAAACACAATCACACACACAACCACAAACACACAACCACAAACACAACCACGAACACACAACCACAAACACGCATCCACAAACACAATCACGAATCACAAACACACAATCACAAACACAACACACAACCCGAGGACCCACAAACAAAATCGAGAACTACAATACTCACGACCATGGCAACATTGTCCTCACTATGGCATCAAGACAAATGATTGAAATGTCATGGTGGGATCACTCGAAGTAAAGTAATTAAATGATTATGTTTTTAATATGGATCCGGGATGCTCAAAAAGAACCTCTCACTCCCCCAGAAGCACCGAATAACTATCCGGCTGCCGATTCCAAAATGAGACAATCATTCACATCGCCCCTGCCAGGCAATCGATGTACCAAATGGTCTGAGAATTTCTGAGACAACTCCTCATGATTCCCGTCCCCTGACATAAAAAAATCCACACCGAGCAGAGAACCTGAGATCTAAACCCAGTCCCAGACTCGCCCGAGAAGTGGGTGACCATGGGATGGCGATGAGCCTTCACGAAGGATTCAATCTCCTCATCCCGCGAGCAACGAGGGCGACGAACACACGAAAGACTGCGCTCAACCGGAACAAGAGTCGCTGCTCAAATTCCTTCATCATCCTTCACCCCAAACTCCTCGGCGCTGCTCAAGTCGCCCAGAAATGTGGCCGACTGCTCATCATGGGGGAAGAACATCTTCAAGGAGGGCGCTGATGCCTGGGACGTTTCCGCTGACACAGAATGTGTTGGTCCGCTGGTCGGAGCACTGGATACGTCCGGTGAAGTCAAGCGACTCATGTCAACAGCCGGAACAATGTTCGCTACGTTCGGGGCTCCTGGCCGTACTACTAGGAACAATGTTCGCTACTAGGAGCAAACAATCCCCGTTGACTACCTGAGTGAAGCTCAATCTTCAATCTGACCGACGTGGCTTGCCACAGGCCTCGTACTTGCTCAGCACATCAGGTGCAGTACTGTAGGCGAACATGACATCCTGGAGAGGGGCGGAACTCGAACTGGAAACGATGTCAAGAACCCAGCACCACCCGGACACATCCAATGCACTTCTTCATGTGTTCTCAACCGGTTCGCCGTTTTAAACAAACGGGCGAGAACACATGAAGGAGTGCATCCCAAGAATATCCTTTTAACCTTAGACAAGGAGGTGACGGCCCAAGACCAATCAACGCACATTTTTTAATAGACACATTTCAGTCGCTCTGGTGGCCAAAACACCTGCTCACCACAACCAGCACCACCAGCAGCCAGGAATGGGGCCAATGGATCCGCAACGAATGAACAGAACTGAGCGACTCAACACGTGGACGGTTGTGGCTGGAGGATAAATGGCACGACACTTGCCACGACCCAGCGGAGGGATGTTTGACCCTGTTTGGGCCTTCGCTCCCACATGGTGTTCGTTGGGCCTTCTGTTTAGTAAAACCGCCTGTCTCTTCTGCCTGGCCATCTGCCTGAGTCCACTTTTCACCTTGCTCGCGGGGTGTGCTGTGTCTTTGGAGGCTTTGCCTCCGCAAAGCACGAGCCTCCCCATCACACGATGGGAGCTCCATCATCAAACCTTGCCACCACGTCTGAAGACATGTCATACGTAGAGTTCACACTTAATAAAACTCCATCTATCTTGCTTAACAGGCCAATTGCTCAATCAGTTGAAGGAACTAAAAGTTAACTGTCAATTTAAGAACATTGAAGGTCAGTATCCGTATCTCGAGCCCCTCAAAAATCGCTCCGTTCTGTTTGCGTGTGTGTTTTTTTCTGGTGGCTGCGGTGTATGCGCGCATTTTATACACTTATATATCGACTTCTGCGCCTTGACCCGTCACTCTCGCGCCGACGCGAGACCCGAGGCTCGAGGATCATATGTCTTCTTGATCGAACCGAGAGTTTTCCTTTCTTGTTCAGAGTTCTTTGGATTTTTTTCATCTTCTTCCTCGCCAAGGACAAAGGTCCAGGTGCTGAAAAACGGTGCTGGAAGTGCCGAGACCCCATGAAAATGGAGATCTGCTTCGACAGAAAGGTGCGACTATGTGGTTCTATAAGGACAGCCTGACATCCTCGAGTTTTGGAAGTGGTGGTACACACATCCACTTCTTCAGTTGCTTTCTTCCCCCTCCCCATGCCATAACAAGGCCTCGCGGTTTGAATGCAGTGTGGATTTCACTTGCTTTAAGTCCAATGGCTCTTGATCGTTTGCAATCGATCCTTCAAACGTTTACCCATTTAACAATTACTGTTGCAATATGTTGTGATGTAGGCTGAACAGGTTTTTCAATCCTTGTTAATCAAGAGTCTACAATACAATCCTTGATTCTATTCTTGGTGACCGATATGGAACCATCTACGTGTATATAGATCCTTTTTTCAAGATGGCGATTCATCAATAAATGACTAAGTATATTGTTTAAACATATTAGTTTTTCCATGCAGGCTGCCAACATTCCATCTTCTAAGAGATGTGTGCCCGTGTCTCGGTACTTCCAACTGGGTGAAATCAATGTTGAGCGATCAAAAAGGCCCGAAGGGACGTAGATTGCTCCAAAGTAGGTCAATCTAACACAGCATGCAAAGGAATCAGGAGCGGCACAAACTACTCTGTAGCAGCTTCTGCCACCTCCATAGTGTCACACCCCCATGAGCACTGGCAACCAGGGACCATCATTGATCTCTGGCAGAATATCTTGGACTTTCGCAATGTTCAGAACTGACTTCTTGGACGGCTCAGCTGGTGACACATCTTCAACCCCTACCTGTCCGGGTCCTGCCAAAGAATCCCTTGTAAACACAAGTAAATCATGGAGGACAATGTGAGAAGAATAAAGGCAAGCAAAGAAGATTAGAATGACTAAGCTGGTGTCTGAAAGCCCCTGCCCTTATACTGTCACGCTTACTATACATCTGTAGTGATTCTAGTTTGAATGGACATGTCCTCAGGTTCCAATGAAGCCAGCGTCCCTTCCGGCCCAGTAAATGAGCGCACACATGTGTTCATGGCGTCTTCGACGGGCTGAAAATATGTTAGCAGAAGGCCAGCCAGGGCAAAACGAGAAGCATTGGAACTTTGATGAATTTTGAGGAACTCAAAATATGTTTTGAATAGTTCTGTGGATTTCGATTGCTTCAGTTCGTGCCAGTCACTTGCAAATGTCTGACGGGACTGTTGAAAGTCCTCAAGCTAGCCGTGGAAGTGAATGCCTCTCTCTCGAGAACAGTTTTCCATCTTGACACTTCTCCTGTTGAGGGCAAATAGCAATGCCACTTACACTTCTAGAACATGTGCAAGCATCTTGGTACTCACACACCGCATGCCACTCACATACTTCAAACATGTGATTATATAGTCAGGCCTTAGATCGACAGCAAAAAAGGCCTTTGTGGGAGTGGAAGGGAAGGTTCCGCCATCAGCTTGCCTGGCCAGGCCCCACATGTTCGTCGGTTCTACCGCCGCTTCACCATACTCACCTGCCTCACGGAAAGCGGCCTCAAAGAAGCATGCTCACAGGAGAAAGGAATATTGTAGCTGTTCACAAGTTCTTTGTGCATAGCTGGTGGGTTGCCCCATGTGCTATATAGATACAACAAACACCAGGCATTGCTTGTCCTTGACAAGTGATGTAAGTGTGACATAAGACGGATCTTCAAAGCTCACCAAGCTGTTCACTAGCACAATTGATCAATTCGGCCTTACGGCTGGGCCGTCAAGGATTCTTGTATCTAAGGACGTGTCAAGCCTAAAACATGATCAACATTGAACAAACCGCATCGATTGGAAATTGAACCATGTTTTGCTCGAGCAAATTATGTTGGCCTGTTCGCGCCAATCTTCCGGAGTGCCCTGACACGTCATTTTGCAAGTTTACCCACCGAAAAGGAATTGGTCATCTAAACCCCATGCCGGGCCGTTCAGGTCGTCTTACTATGTAGAGTGTTGATAAAGTCCGCCATATCGAGATGTAAACACATTCTGGCAGGAGATTCTATCAATCATCAGTCTACATTATCAGGCGGATTGTTTGTTTTCCTCTCTCTGTGCGGGCTTAGCTCTCTCGCTGCCTCAAACTGTACACTTGCAGGGTCTTTCATGGACAATGGGTCATGGGTCCGCCCACTTTTTTGAAATTGTATTACGTCCAGGTCCAGGTTCTAAGGTTCTAGTCGTTATGATGCTGTCGGCTTCCACGGTCGTGCTTTGCTGCCGCCACTGTTTCTGGTACTTGCCCTTCTGCATCAAGCGATGCTGTGTCCTAAGAATTAAGTATATATATAAGTAACCATTGAAAGGTCTGATGTTTCATGCATTTCTACAACACGACTGAACAGTGGAACACATCGGAGTCCAGCTAGTCACCCGGCAAAGCAGCCCGAACATGATTGAATGAAAGGGTCGGTGTACTCAGCTTAGCTGCCTACGGCCTCCGACTACAGCAGCCAGCCAACAGTCATGTTTGACGAAACTTTATGTTGAACATGGCAACCTACGTGTCGCAACCGTTTCCAACCAATTCTTCTCTTCTCCATCGCCCTCTCAAGAGTTTAGCCGTTAGCTTTTTCCAACCAATTGATAACCCTTTTTATTGCTGATTTGGGTTCCAACCACTTCCCGCGTCTTTGACCAGCTGCATATACATCAGCTCGACGCCATCTTTGGGGCGCCTGGGGTTCCCTGGCGAGTGAAGCTCTCCTTGGCGCAGCTTCGCCAGGCGGGTTGCGAGCGTGGCTTTGGACCCCAGCACCCTTTCTTTGGCATTGAGGGATGGCGACAGGGAAGGTCTTCTGAGCTTCTGGAAAGAAAAAATGCTTTTGCTTTTAAGCTTGTCTTATATAAAGCATGCAAGTGTCTGCGAAAAGTCTTATAAACGGAAGACTCCAGGGAACATAAACAACTGACCCCCAAGTAGACGCTACTCCGAAAGGATGTTATATTTTTCAGCCGTGGAATCGGAGTGCCTGAATGCGTCTTCATGGCTTCAAGGGATGGAAAAATGATCGCCGACCAGCCTCCTCCTACTCCTCCTCCTCCTCCTCCATGGGTGCCAGATCGTTGAACACATGCATTGCTGGTCACAAGTCCAAACCCATGCCATAAAGCATCAAATGTAAAGTCCTAAATCCATTCCAGACTTGCACATGGCTCAAAATTTTCCCCACCTTTTTTCTGAGATCAATTTTAACTGAAACAAAAGGCTTCTTAAAAAAACAAAAAAACCGTTGAACACCCTCCCAGAAATCGCACGTTAACATACGTTAACATGTCAGAAGGAACAAAAGGCTCCCGACCGACGCTCGACCCGACCCTCGGAATCGCCCAAGGCTCCCCATCCGACATTTGTCGGAACGCCTGCAGCGGGAACGGACGCTTCGCCGGACACCGGTGATCGATGCCACTCCTGGATGAGATTGAAACATAACCCGTTGTTCCAAAGGGATTGGCTGGTGGTTGTGAAAGGCCGGGTTTTGTCTGCCATCACTGGGTCTTGCAAGTCAATTGGAACAGTTTGGGGAACTCCTCACCACGTTTAGGTCGTTTTGGGGTGGCTGTGTCGTAAGCGGTGGGTTTTTACCTTTTTTGTGTCGTAAGCGCGGAAGAATTGGAACAGGCTTCTTCAATATCTTGGATAAACCTTGGAGTCTACGGTCCGGGATTGTCCGGTCAGGCACAAAAGGCTCCCGAAAAAATATTTTTGTTAGCCTTTGGCAATTTTGGCATAGCCAGTTGCTCAAAGGGTGATATACGAGGCGAGGGTTCATAAACTTGGAAGCCAGCAGTCGTAGACCCTATTGGCCCAGATTTCTTTTCTCACACTGCTCTTCAAGCCTTCAAGCACCCTACAACTTTGGGTTTTATGCACATGATTGCTTGACCATGCTTGCTTGACCAAAACAGAACACTGGCGGATTGATGTGCACATCTACACTGCCGAAAGGCTCGTGCAATTTGTAAGCCCATTTTGCAACACAAGCGAATGCTCCCAGCCT